AATGCAGGGTCCGGGAGACCAGATATAGTGAATGCAGGGTCCGGGGAGACCAGGATATAGTGAACTGGAGGAAGACCAGATATAGTGAATGCAGGGTCTGGGAGACTATGCAGGGTCCTGGTTCAAATAATGAGTGTGTGCAGGGTCCGAGGCATGAAAGTGAATATAGTGAATGCAGGTCCGGGAGAGGATATAGTGAATGCAGGGTCCAGGGGAGAGCAGATATAGTGAATGCAGGGTCTGGGGAGACATACAGATATAGTGAATGCAGGGTCCGGGAGACCAGATATAGTGAATGCAGTTTCTGGGGAGAGCAGATATAGTGAATGCAGGGTCCAGGGGACCAAGATATTAATGCACTAGGGTGGGAGAGCAGATATAGTGAATGCAGGGTCGGGGAGACCATGATATATTGAATGCAGGGTCACGGGGGAGAGTGGATGATATAAAGTGAATGCAGGGTGTGGGAGAGTGGATATAATGTGAATGCAGGGTCCGGGGAGAGCAGATATAGTGAATGCAGGGTCCGGGGGAGAGCGAGATATAGTGAATGCAGGGGGTGTGGGGAGAGCGGATATAGTGAATGCAGGGTCCGGGGAGAGGATATTGGATATAGTGAATGCAGGGTGACGGGGAGAGCGATATAGTGAATGCAGGTCCGGGGGAGAGCCAGATATAGTGAATGCAGGGTCCGGGGGAAGCAGATATATAGTGAATGCAGGTCCGGGGAGAGCAGATATAGTGAATGCAGGGTCCGGGGGGGAGAGCAGATATAGTGAATGCAGGGTCCTGGGGAGAGACCGTGGATATAGTGAATGCAGGGTCTGGGGAGAGCTGGATATAGTGAATGCTGGTCCGGGGAGAGAGATGATATAGTGAATGCAGGGTACGGGGAGAGCTGGATATAGTGAATGCAGGGTCCAGGGAGACCAGATATAGTGAATGTTAGGGTTTACCCAGATATAGTGAATCAGGGTGTCCGGGGGTGAATGATATAGTCAATGCCCAGGGGAAGACAGGGATATAGTGAATGCAGGGTCCGGGATGAGAGTGGATATAGTGAATGCAGGGGTCCGGGGAGAGCGGATATAGTGAATGCAGGGTCCGGGGAGAGCAGAATATAATGAATGCAGGGTCCTAGGGGAGCAGGAGGGGATATAGTGAATGCAGGGTGGGGAGAGACCAGGCATATATAGTGAATGCAGGGTCCGGGGGAGAGCAGATATAGTGAATGCAGGGTCCAGGGGGAGAGCAGCGGATATAGAAAATGCAGGGTCCTGGATTGAGAGCAGATATAGTGAATGCAGGGTCCGGGGAGAGACCAGATATATAGTGAATGCAGGGTCCGGGGAGAGCGGATATAGTGAATGCAGGGTCTGAGGAGAGAGTTGGATATAGTGAATGCAGGGTCCTTTCAATAGACCAGATATAGTGAATGCAGGGTCCGGGAGACCAGATATAGTGAATGCAGGGTCCTGGGGAGAGACCAGAGATATAGTGAATGCAGGGTCGGGGAGAGCGGATATAGTGAATGCAGGGTCCAGGGAGACCAGATATAGTGAATGCAGGGTCCGGGGAGACCAGATATAGTGAATGCAGGGTCCGGGGAGAGCAGATATAGTGAATGCAGGGTCTGGGAGAGACCGGATATAGTGAATGCAGGGTCCAGGGAGACCAGATATAGTGAATGCAGGGTCCGGGGAGAGCGGATATAGTGAATGCAGGGTCCGGGGAGAGTGGATATAGTGAATGCAGGGTCCGGGGAAGACCGGATATAGTGAATGCAGGGTCCGGGGAGAGAAGGGATATAGTGAATGCAGGGTCTGGGGGAGAGCAGATATAGTGAATGCAGGGTCCGGGAGATATAGGATATAGTGAATGCAGGGTCCGGGGAGATTGGATATAGTGAATGCAGGGTCCGGGGAGAGCAGATATAGTGAATGCAGGGTCTGGGGAGCAGCGGTTTATTGTGAATGCAGGGTCCGGGGAGATGATATAGTGAATGCGGGGTCCGGGGAGAGACAGATATAGTGAATGCAGGGTCCTGGGAGAGTTTGATGATATAGTGAATGCAGGTCGGGGAGACTGGATATAGTGAATGCAGGGTCCGGGAGACCGATATAGTGAATGCAGGGTCCGGGGGATAGCCAGATATAGTGAATGCAGGGTCCTGGGGGACTGGTTCAGATATAGTGAATGCAGGGTCCGGGAGAGACGAATATAGTGAATGCAGGGTCTGGGGAGAGTTGGATATAGTGAATGCAGGGTCCGGGGAGAGCGGAGAATATATAGTGAATGCAGGGTCCGGGAGAGCGGATATAATGAATGCAGGGTCCTGGGAGAGCGGATATAGTGAATGCAGGGTTGGGGAGACGAGATATAGTGAATGCAGGGTCCGGGGAGACGCAGATATAGTGAATGCAGAGTCCGGGGAGAGAGAGCAGATATAGTGAATGCAGGGTCTGGGGAGAGCGGATATAGTGAATGCAGGGTCCGGGGAGACGGATATAGTGAATGCAGGGTCCTGGGGAGAGCTGGGATATAGTGAATGCAGGGTCTGGGGAGACCAGATATAGTGAATGCAGGGTCCGGGGAACCAGATATAGTGAATGCAGGGTCCAAGGAGACCATTATAGTGAATGCAGGGTCCGGGGAGAGCAATATATAGTGAATGCAGGGTCCAGGGAGAGAGGATATAGTGAATGCAGGTCCAGGGAGACCAGATATAGTGAATGCAGGGTCCGGGGAGACCAGATATAGTGAATGCAGGGTCCGGGGAAGAGCAGATATAGTGAATGCAGGGTCCTGGGGAGAGCGGATATAGTGAATGCAGGGTCCAGGGAGACCAGATATAGTGAATGCAGGGTCCGGGGGAGAGCAGATATAGTGAATGCAGGGTCCTGGGAGACCAGATATAGTGAATGCAGGGTCCTGGGCAGAGACCAATGCACATATAGTGAATGCAGGGTCCAACGGGAGACCAGATATTATAGTGAATGCAGGGTCTGGGGAGACCAGATATAGTGAATGCAGGGTCCAGGAAAAAGAGCGGATATAGTGAATGCAGGGTCTGGGGAGACCGGATATAGTGAATGCAGGGTCCGGGGAGACCAGATATAGTGAATGCAGGGTCCGGGGAGAGCAGATATAGTGAATGCAGGGTCCGGGGGAGAGCAGATATAGTGAATGCAGGGTCCGGGAGACCGGATATAGTGAATGCAGGGTCCGGGGGAGACCAGATATAGTGAATGCAGGGTCCGGGGAGAGCAGATATAGTGAATGCAGGGTCCTGGGGGAGACGGATATAGTGAATGCAAAGGGGGGGGAGACCAGATATAGTGAATGCAGGGTCCTGGGAGACTGGATATAGTGAATGCAGGGTCCGGGGAGACCAGATATAGTGAATGCAGGGTCCTGGGGAGAGCTGGATATAGTGAATGCAGGGTCCAGGGAGACCAGATATAGTGAATGCAGGGTCCTGGGAGACCAGATATAGTGAATGCAGGGTCCGGGAAGAGCAGATATAGTGAATGCAGGGTCGGGGGAGAGCGGATATAGTGAATGCAGGGTCCGGGGAGAGCGGATATAGTGAATGCAGGGTCCGGGGAGACCAGATATAGTGAATGCAGGGTCCTGGGAGAGTGGATATAGTGAATGCAGGGTCCGGGGAGAGCGGATATAGTGAATGCAGGGTCCGGGGAGAGCAGATATAGTGAATGCAGGGTCCTGGGGAGACCGGATATAGTGAATGCAGGGTCTTGGGAGACCAGATATAGTGAATGCAGGGTCCAGGGAGGATGTAGTGCAGGGTCTTGGAGACGTGATATAGTGAATTGCAGGGTCCGGGGAGACCAGATATAGTGAATGCAGGGTCCTGGGGAGAGCAGATATAGTGAAATGCAGGGTCCGGGGAGACCCGGATATAGTGAATGCAGGGTCCGGGGGAGTCTGGATATAGTGAATGCAGGGTCCAGGGAGAGCAGATATAGTGAATGCAGGGTCCTGGGGAGACCAGATATAGTGAATGCAGGGTCCGGGGAGTGCAGATATAGTGAATGCAGGGTCCGGGAGTGCAGATATAGTGAATGCAGGGTCCGGGGAGACCACTATATAGTGAATGCAGGGTCCGGGGAGAGCAGATATAGTGAATGCAGGGTCCTGGGAGAGCAGATATAGTGAATGCAGGGTCTGGGGAGACCAATGATCTAGTGAATGCAGGGTCCGGGAGACCAGATATAGTGAATGCAGGGTCCAGGGAGAGCAGATATAGTGAATATAAATGTGCGGTCGGGTGCGTGAGGAGAGCAGGATATAGAGAAGGAATGAATGCAGGGTGATGGGGAGAGCAGATATAGTGAATGCAGGGTCCGGGGAGACCAGATATAGTGAATGCAGGGTCCGGGGAGAGACCATATAGTGAATGCAGGGTCCGGGGAGAGCAGATATAGTGAATGCAGGGTCCGGGGAGAGCAGATATAGTGAATGCAGGGTCTGGGGAGAGCGGATATAGTGAATGCAGGGTCCAGAGGGGATTAGGAGTGGATATAGTGAATGCAGGGTCCAGGGGAGCAGATATAGTGAATGCAGGGTCCGGGAGAGCAGATATAGTGAATGCAGGGTCCGGGAGAGCAGATATAGTGAATGCAGGGTCCTGGGGAGACCAGATATAGTGAATGCAGGGTCGAGGGAGAGCCAGATATATAGTGAATGCAGGGTCTGGGGAGACCTGGATATAGTGAATGCAGGGTCCGGGGAGACCAGATATAGTGAATGCAGGGTAGTGCATGCATTTCCACCTGGCAGTACTAGGGTCACTGGATATTTTGAATCCCAACCACTAGGGTCCGGGGAGAGTGAATATAGTGAATGCAGGGTCCGGGAGACCAGATATAGTGAATGCAGGGTCCGGGGAGAGCGGATATAGTGAATGCAGGGTCCGGGGAGACCAGATATAGTGAATGCAGGGTCGGGGAGACCAGATATAGTGAATGCAGGGTCCGGGGAGACCAGATATAGTGAATGCAGGGTCTGGGGAGAGCAGATATAGTGAATGCAGGGTCCGGGGAGAGCAGATATAGTGAATGCAGGGTCCAGGGAGAGCAGATATAGTGAATGCAGGGTCCGGGGAGAGAGCGGATATAGTGAATGCAGGGTCCGGGAGAGTGGATATAGTGAATGCAGGGTCCGGGGAGAGCAGATATAGTGAATGCAGGGTGTGGGGAGAGTGGAGCAGATATAGTGAATGCAGGGTCCGGGGAGAGCCGGATATAGTGAATGCAGGGTCCTGGGGAGAGCGGATATAGTGAATGCAGGGTCCGGGGAGACCGGATATAGTGAATGCAGGGGTCCAGGGAGAGCAGATATAGTGAATGCAGGGTTCAGGGGAGAGCAGATATAGTGAATGCAGGGTCCGGGGAGAGACCGATATATAGTGAATGCAGGGTCCGGGGAGAGCGGATATAGTGAATGCAGGGTCCGGGGAGAGCAGATATAGTGAATGCAGGGTCCGGGGAGATGCTGAGACCAGATAGATAATATATAGTGAATGCAGGGTCCGGGAGAGCGGATTTAGTGAATGCAGGGTCCGGGAGAGCGGATTTAGTGAATGCAGGGTCCGGGAGAGCAGATATAGTGAATGCAGGGTCCCGGGAGAGCAGTTCAAATCCCAACCATATAGTGAACGCAGGGTCCGGGGAGAGCGGATTTAGTGAATGCAGGGTCCAGGGAGAGCGGATATTAGTGAACGCAGGGTCCGGGGAGAGCGGATTTAGTGAATGCAGGGTCCGGGGAGAGCGGATTTAGTGAACGCAGGGTCCAGGGAGAGCGGATATGGTGAATGCAGGGTCCGGGAGAGCGGCTATATTGAATGCAGGGTCCAGGGTTTGGTAACACTTTCAAACCTGTGCATTTTCTATTTGCGCTTTGCAGAAACACACAGTAGTCCATTGAACATGATTTCCTATGGGGCACGTTCACATCTCTGCATTTTCACCCGAAGCATTTTTTTAAAAGGTTCAGGGACTTTTTTTAAACTCAAAATGCTGCATTTTTGGTTCTATAGACATCAATGGAGACGCTGCAGAAAAAAGTAAAGTTTGGTGGAGGGGAATTATGGTGTGGGTTTGTTCCTCAGGGGTTGGGCTTGGCCCTCTAATTCCAGTGAAGGGAACCCTTAAGGTGACATTTTGGACAATTTCATGCTCCCAACTTTGTGGGAAGAGTTTGGGGATGGCCTCTTCCTGTTCCAACATGACTGCGCACCAGTGCACAAAGCAAGGTCCATAAAGACATGGAGGAGCCAGTTTGGGGTGGAGGAACTTGACTGTCCTGCACAGAGTCCTGACCTCAACCCCATAGAACACCTTTGGGATGAATTAGAGTGGAGACTGCGAGCCAGGCCTCCTCCCCCGACATCAGTGCCTGACCTGACAAATGTGCTTCTGGAAGAATGGTCAAACCCAGTGGCGTGGGTTAGGGGACTCTGCAGCAGACCTGGTGGTCCCATAGTGGATGAGGCTTCTGGGGGAGGTTGAGGTGCAATGTGGGTCACCTGGTCCTACAGCAGAGATTGGGGGCACAATGGAGGGCTGGGGGCTCTACAGCAGGCTGGGGGGGGGCACTGTGGAAACTGTGGGCTCTTGGGGGGGGGGGGCACTGTGTGCCTCAATAGAAGGTTGTGGGTAGCAATGGGAGCTGGGAGACACGAGGATCTACAGCTGGCTGGAGGCCCGGGAGAGGGGAGGCCGTGGTGGCATGGCAGTGGGACACAGCCCAGTGGTTGGGAACTACGGAATTGTGTGACCAAATTGCTTTGTTTTTCCAAACGGTACATGGCTGATATATATATAAATATATATATTATATATATATATATATATAGTCCTCGTCACCTGCAATTAATGAAAGTGTCCCACAGAGCTTTCATATAACATCTTTTCAGCCCCCGCTCCCCCCTACAATCCTCCTATCTCACATACATACACATACTGGGGCCAATTAAACCGCCCAGCATGGCGTGGGTGTGGGGAGAAACTCATGCAAGCACCAGGAGACCAGGCAAACTCCATGCTGGAAATGTGAACCAAGGACCCCAACGCTGCAGGGCAGAAGTGCTAACCACTATGCCACTGTGAATATGGCGCCCCTTACAATGATATATGTGTGCTTTCCTGTACGGTGTGCAAGGGACAATTCAGCAGTTTATATTTGTGCTCTGCCTTCTATGGAATGGCTTGCCACAGGTATGGCAGCCTCTTTGCAATGGTGGTGGTGTGGGGGGGGGGGGGTTAGATTTTTGCAGGATTTATGCAGGACGCTGCAACAACACCCAGGAATCATGATGGATACACTACAGCGTGTTCACAGATTACATAGTAATTACATAGTTAGTCTGGCTGAAAAAAGACAAAAGTCCATCCAGTTCAACCATTAAAAAAAAAAAAAAGTGATAATCCTACACCCACAGTTGATCCAGAGGAAGGTAAAAAAAACCAGCAAAGCATGATCCCATTTTTCATGTTAAAATTTCTAAAACAAATATTTTATATTGATGGGGAATGAAAACATAAAACAGTTTAATATGTATATAAAAAAAACAAATGTGAGATTAAAATTGGCCCGAAACCATTCAAATTTCCTTTAATTTCCATTAGAAAGTGCAGCATCTCAAACCTCCACTAGGTGT